TCCCAAAAAATTATACGTGTTTTGGAAATGTTGAGTGGAATTAGTCTAGAATCGGTTAATTTTATAGAAGAAAACCTTTCGAACAGCCTTAGTCCGTAAAGTTCCCACCTATCGGGCTGCGATTGGCTCACTCCTACAACGTAATTTTCGGTTAGCGTGGAACGTATCTAAGCGTTATAGGGGGGTCTACTGTATATTCTATAAAAATAAGAGTTTATTTTTGACAAGATTATGTCTTGTTTATAAAATCGTACTGTCACCCGTTCTTATCAGCATAGAGGTATGAAGGAGTACATGTAAAATGTTGATATTTGGCACAGAGTATTAGGTGCCCAAATCATTTGTGCATAAAAAATTCTAGACTCGTAGGTAGTCAGGGGATCGAGAATCGAGTCAAAATAAAATACAAAATGGCAACCATCTTCTACAAACAGGCAAAACAGCCACCTCACCCCACTGAAGTCGGGTAGGGGAGAGTACCATCCACAGTCATTTTAAGAAGTGAACTCTGACCTTAGGACTGAACACGTAGCTTCTTCTAGGTTAAATAAAATTTGTAATCTACTTTTGTAAATTTGGGAATGCTTCAAATATGACGTTAAAGCGGTTTTATGTCGTTACAAGTGGGCTTTTTTTAACATTATCTAGTATAGTAAAATCGTAGGACTGATAAAAATTTGATGTTATATTAGGGTTATCATTACATTTGATGACATTATAATTGGGTTAAACTGTATATTGTTTGTGCAAAATAAAAAAAATAATTTCGGACAATACAATAGCCACAATTATTTTTTTCAAAACCGGGAACTTTTCGTTACACATTGACAAAAATTCAACCCGGGCTGACACGCAATAGAGAGAAATTTTGAAATTAGATAAGTTAATTTCATCAAGGATGCATCATGGACGATCTCGTGGTTGTGGCCGGTGAAGTTTGAATGATCGCGCCCAAACGCAGTGATATCAAAGAAGAATGAGAACGAGACCTGCCTTGAGCATCAAAGTGATTCTGTCTCCAAGACATAGTCTTGTCCCAAATACGGTTTTGCCGTTTTACTTGTTAAATTTATGATTGATGAAATGAATTAGAATATAAAATAGAAATAAATAATTATACAAAATAGAAATAAAATCTTTCAATTTGATGTCATGCTTATTGCAATATTTTACATGATATGGTAATTGGATTATTTTGAATAATAATATGATTTCCTAAACAATGTTTTCTGTTTGAGAATAATTTTTTAACTGTGAAATTTGTATATGATATGAAATTTCTTTCAGTTATTGCATTGCATTATATTAACACTTCTATTATCATTGCATTGATTCACATTACCAACAATATTTTCAATAAGTTTTATATAAAATTTATTGTAGTTAATATTTTTAAGTTGTTGAAATCAATTTGAAATATAGTCTGTGAATTTTATAATTTACAGTTAATGAATGAATTTATAATAGTCATAATAATTTTATTATAGGACCACTTTCTCCTAGTTTAAGCATTCCTCTTCCTCCGTTAGAATTAACTACACAAGAACAACAAGAATTGGGATATCTTCCAAATAGAGATGACTTTGAAAAGGTTTGTTGATTTTACATTAAAAGTTTTGTTGTTGATAAAATATGTATAATTTTTAAAAATTTTTTCACTTAGGAATATGATAATGAAGCAGAATCTTTGACATCAAATTTAGTAATCAATAATGATGATGATGAAGTTGACACAGGTAAGAATTATTTAAAAATGAATTATATTCTAAATTTTGCATTTTTATATAAATTAAATCTGATATTAGATTATTAGATTTATTATTATTAAATTTTAATATTTTTCATTTAATTTAAAAAAAAATTTCTGGTTTTAAAATTACTGATTTGGAATAAAGTAATATTTATAAGTCTAAAAAAATTATATCTTAAATGGTTTGTTGTATAGTGTTATTTTTTAATACAATTTCAATTATATAATTTTATTTTCAGCTCTAAAGCTTGCTTTAATTAGCATTTACACAACCAGACTAGAAGAAAGGTTAAAAAGGAAAAAGATAGCTAGAGAGTTTGGACTAGTCAATCAGTTTTTCAGTTCCTCAAATAAACAAAAATCTCAAAATCCTCGGAAGAAATCTTTCAAAGATGAAAGGTAAAATACTTTTTTTTCTACTGAAGTCATTTAACTATGATTTTTAATTTACCTAAAATAAATTCTCTTGAAAAAAGTTTTCTTTTTATATTTAAGTATGAAATATTAAATTAAACTGCAAAACTTTTTATATACAAACAAATTTATAAATGAAAATTACAAAACATTTTAAAGCAAAAACTTAGATACAAATTTCAATAATTTACTTTCTTCCATGTTATAATCAGATATGTTGAAAATGAAAAAACTCATTTAAACCTGGTTATAATGAAGGCATACAGATTAATTGTAATTTGAAAATCTGAAATGTACTCAATAATTTTGTACATTAAATATCAATCTGACTGTCAATTGAGATTAAACTGTAAGTTATGCTCACATTCACCACTCCAAGTACAAGAAAGGAAGGGGGGAAAAATCATATTTTTATTGCACTACTTCAGAAAAGAATTTACAGCAAATTGTGATTTTTTGCTTTATTTAGTAATAATTAAATTTTTAATCATTTTAAAATTTATTCTAGGATATCAAAGTGAAATTTTGTTCAATAAACTTAATATGTAAAAATTATTTTTTAGAGAACTTCAGGAAAGAATGCAAGTTTTTTGTAGATTCCAAACAGCTTATGAACATGAACAATTATTCAGGGATCTTCAAAGTAAGTAGTAATAAATATATTTTTAAAATCAAATAATAAAAGAGATCATTTGTTAATAACATATAATTATATAATGTATTTAATTAATTTCTATTTCTAATATAGTTACTTTCTCTTTTATTGTTTACTAAATTATCTTAGAATTGAATTAATTCCTAATTATTATTAATCTAAGCAGATAGAGGTAGAAATGTTCTCCCCAATTTACTTTTAGCTGGTTGATTGTTAAGCTTACTATTTTTTCCAACTATTAAATAATATGTTTTAGTTTATTTATTTTTTAAGGATAACTGGATTATGGACTAGTATGCTATTGAACTATTGTATTTAATAACAAATCAATACTTTACTAAAAGTATTGATTTGTTATTAAATACAGCTAAGGAAGTTTGCTGTATCAGCCAATTGCAAGTAAACAGCCTAAAAATTTATATGGGAGAACACTGAACTAGTTTTTTGTTATGAATTTAATAACAATAAATTTATGAAATATAAATAACTTGATGTTAATTGTTTTTGTTTTTTCGTAAATTTTAGGGGAAAAAGAATTACATCTTAAAATAAAAGAGCTTTTCAAATATAGAAAAAATGGTCTGACAAAATTACAAGNATCGATGTTAAGCCTATCAAAAATTTTATTTTAAATATTAATCGTCGCTATTGTGTCATTAAAAATTATTTTTAAATTATTTTATTACTCACAAAACAAACAACCACTCATAATTAGAAAATTAAGCCTCGTTTAAATACTGGCCTCCCTTTCATGGTCGAGCCAGTGTTGCCAGCTAAAACACACAAAAATTTAACAAAAATAATATTAAAGTAGCCAAGACATAGCCAAATATTGTAGCACCACATCACTAGCGGACATTGAAATTTGCCGACTAGAACGGTCAGTTAACTGATGTGACGGTTGATTGGGGGTCAGATAATCAATGTTCTACTGTATTTGATTTATCAATTTAAAAGAAAGTTTGACATTTGTCGATAAAATCTTTATTAATTATTAAAGTACACTGTTTAGGAATTTACTTCTTAAAAATAATGTCATCTAAATGTAAACCATCACACTCATGGCACTCATTTAAACAAACAGCGAAATTTCCCATGATGGCTCGGCATGTAGACTCTGTGATGGCTGCCATTTTTCCCTCAACTGTGCCAGAGTAGTCGGATTACTGGCGTAAACCTTTGATTTGAGATATCCCCATAAAAAAGTTCATAATTAGGACTGCATGGGGGCCAAATTATGTCACCTCTCCTGGAGATCAATTTGCTAGGGAAAATTTCATGAACTCATGGCAGAGACGTATTGGATGTATGTGACATGGCTCCGTCCTGCTGAAACCATGTTTTTTGGTTATAATTAGGAAAGTTTTGCAGTTCAGGTACCAAGAAGTCATCTAACATCTTCACATAACGTTCTGAAGTCACTGTAACTGACTGTCTCATTTCATTTTCAAAAGAGTACAGGCCGATTATTCCTCGCACCGACATTGCAGCCCATACAGTCACTTTAGGGGAATGTAGGGGTTTCTGGTGCTTGCATTTTGGATTTGTTGCACTCCAGTAATGGCAATTCTGCTTGTTCACATGTCCGTTGAGGTAAAAATGAGCCTCATTGGAAAACAAGATATTGTTAAATGTTGAAAAGCACTCAGTAACTTGGTTAATGAATTGAAGCCTATGACTGACATCCTGGGGCTTCAATTCTTGTACTAATTGGAGTTTGTAGGGATGCAGTTTTAGGTCTTTGTGTAAAATACAATATAATGATGATCTATGCAAATTAAAGCATGTGTGTGTTTACAAATGGGAATGTTTGGATCGTCACGAACAGACAGATTTTACACTCTTCATGGACTCATCCATTCTTGATGACCTTGGTCGCCCAGATTTTGGTTTTTCCAGTGTTGAACCGGTCTATTCAAACTTCTTGACCCATTTTTGAATGAGGGGAACACTTGGTGCATCATTTAAGTTATGCAAACCATGATGACTGCAAAATTTTCTGTGCTGTAGTCACCAAATCACCGTTTTTATGAAATTCTCACACACAGAATGCTTGGTCCACTCCCAAGAAACATTTCATACTGACTGAATTCCTATAAGCCAGGCAATCGATTGACACCCCCCATGCACCTTACATGTGTTGTGTTTGCACAGTAAGCTAATCGATTATAAACTTTCTTTTGAGACACCGTGTACAAAGTATGGCTTTATTGTTATAATGTATTGGGTTTTAGTAGAGCTGGTTGTTTATACAAAGTATTTTGCAATTAAACAAAGATTTTTTCTTATACTAGAGAAAATTAGTAAAGTATGCAGTTACTGCTGTGGTGTAAACTAATTGTTTTGTTCTGATAAAGAGATTATTTTGTCAAAACAATGGTGAATAGTATACATCAAAAAGTTTTGGTGTTTAAAAGAATTGTAATGATTATTAAATGTTATAACTAGATGAATGTGGAAAATTAAGTCAAATACAACATTTATAAAGTACTTCTTGGAAACTGAAGCATAAAATAACACAAATTTGTAGGAGACAACTGATTATGACCTTAGATATTAAAAGGTTGAAAACATTCCGGTTAGAATACCAATTTCAACTGAAGTTTAATGTTAGTGTTATTTTATGCAACTATAACATTGCTATTTGATTTTAAAAATTCTGTAATGAAGACAGAGTAGCAGTAGTTCATGAAATATTGCATTTGTTTATAATCCTTGTTAAGAATTTATAGAAGTTTATTGTTATAATTGTCACATTATTTACATTTATCAATCATTTTGATAAATTATTTATACTTTTCTATGGAGTGAATTCATTGACAATATTTTTTTTTCAAATGATGCATTCAGTAAATTCCATTATATGTTCAGTTACTGACAGGCACTATAAATGTCTTTATTTAATTTTATCATTAGTTTTTAAGTGATGTATTTATGAAGATGATGATTGTTTACATATATTGCTCTGTGTCCAGTGGCATACTTCATTTAGTTTTTGGATTATAGAATTATTAACATTTTCATGTAGTATTGGCTGTCATAATTAAAGATTATTTAGTGAAATATCAAGTGACCATAATTTGTTCATATCTTTCCTAATAACAATGATTTCTGAAAGATTTTCATAATACTGTGCGCTGTATCAGTGCCATCTCAAAGAAAATATTGTAATTTACAATAGATAATACTGCTCTATTTCTAGTATGTTTAAAGACAGTAGTGGATGCAACTCATAGTATGTGTTTGCTTGCACCTTCTTACTTCATAGTTATTCAGTTTTGTTAAACATAATATCTTTAAAATATTTCAGCAAGCAAAATGATTATTTTGAAAAAGTACATTTTATACTTGTAAATCAGTGTTCTCTATAAATCTCTTCTGTCATTATTATATTAAGTATGAAAACTTCTTGGAAAATGAATTTCGTTATAGCGGTATTAGAATAAATGCATGTTTATTCTATAATTTAACAGTATCTATTACAACTAATTAATAATGCATGTTACGTAAACCTAGTATATATATAATCATTTAAAATGAATTAAGAAACTGAAAATGTAAATAATGTTGTAAATTTTAAATTTCATTTTTTTGCCAAAATAACTTATAGCCTTCACTTTATATAATTTTAAACATACAGTTTATGCCTGTAACTGTTTTTATTTACATTTATATTTAATTTTTTTACATAATCACATATATTTTGCATTTTAATGTATTATGATTAATTTCAGAAATAGAAAAACATTATACAGATTTGTACATACTTGGTTCCATTGGTAGAGGTATGTATTTTTGTCATTGATTTAAGTTTTTCTATTGAAAAAATTTTTTATTATTAATTTTCTTTTAAAGCAACGTGGGATATAGAACAAAAACATCACATTCATGACCATACTGTAATGGAAGGAGGTAAGATATAATTGTGACTTTAAATTTACTAGTAACAATAATTTTTTTCTAATTATAAAGTTGATTATATTTCACACAAAACATTCATATTTTTGTTTGACAAATTTCTTTGTCCATTTCCTATGGTAAAAGTTTATTTATAAACAAGATCAGAAATTATTATGAACAGTTGAAAAAGAAAATGTCTTATCAAATTTGTATGTGATTATCTGACCAATATTATACTGTAGCAGTAGTATGACTGACTAATATTTTGACCATATATTAACCTGTGACAACATGCAGTTTCTGTTTAGCATGGATGTATGGAAAAGTGGCAATTTTCCACTGACTTTTCATGCCTAATTACACGATACATAATTACCATTCCTTGAATTTGACAATTCTGAAAATCCTGTGATGTGTCTTCTCTTCACATGTAAAATTTCAAGATCATACATTGTTTAGTTTATTAGATATTGTTTTGTTTATAAAAACAGTGTCTTTAACTCTTATCTTATAGGAAATATCACCAGATTTGCAATAATGTGGACTAATATGAAACAAATACAGCTGCAAATGAATGATGAGAGGGCTGAGATATTTCTCAAAGGACCAAAAAAATGATTTTTCAAAAAAAATTTAAATTTTTGAAGGTCATAGCAGGAAGGCTATCTTATGGAGATAAGCATTTAAGGGTGTAGTGAATCACAGTCCTCCATGTTATGACATCATGCATAGTTGACAAAGATCTATGATATCATTATTTTCTTATGACAATTTTGAGAATCCTCTATGACTGATAGCATTGAAAAGTGATGTCATAGTGGAAAACCTCTGCCTCACCCATGCAATCATGTAAAAAAAATTATACATGAGAATAGAAAAATGCAAGGCAGCAATTTTTTTGAAAGCCTGTGATAAGTATAAAAAATTTTTACAAATGAAATTTTTACATAGTCAGATGATAATAAATACAGTCGACCCCCCTATAACGTACGTTCTAATAACGACAATTNGAAGGAGTACATGTAAAATGTTGATATTTGGCACAGAGTATTAGGTGCCCAAATCATTTGTGCATAAAAAATTCTAGACTCGTAGGTAGTCAGGGGATCGAGAATCGAGTCAAAATAAAATACAAAATGGCAACCATCTTCTACAAACAGGCAAAACAGCCACCTCACCCCACTGAAGTCGGGTAGGGGAGAGTACCATCCACAGTCATTTTAAGAAGTGAACTCTGACCTTAGGACTGAACACGTAGCTTCTTCTAGGTTAAATAAAATTTGTAATCTACTTTTGTAAATTTGGGAATGCTTCAAATATGACGTTAAAGCGGTTTTATGTCGTTACAAGTGGGCTTTTTTTAACATTATCTAGTATAGTAAAATCGTAGGACTGATAAAAATTTGATGTTATATTAGGGTTATCATTACATTTGATGACATTATAATTGGGTTAAACTGTATATTGTTTGTGCAAAATAAAAAAAATAATTTCGGACAATACAATAGCCACAATTATTTTTTTCAAAACCGGGAACTTTTCGTTACACATTGACAAAAATTCAACCCGGGCTGACACGCAATAGAGAGAAATTTTGAAATTAGATAAGTTAATTTCATCAAGGATGCATCATGGACGATCTCGTGGTTGTGGCCGGTGAAGTTTGAATGATCGCGCCCAAACGCAGTGATATCAAAGAAGAATGAGAACGAGACCTGCCTTGAGCATCAAAGTGATTCTGTCTCCAAGACATAGTCTTGTCCCAAATACGGTTTTGCCGTTTTACTTGTTAAATTTATGATTGATGAAATGAATTAGAATATAAAATAGAAATAAATAATTATACAAAATAGAAATAAAATCTTTCAATTTGATGTCATGCTTATTGCAATATTTTACATGATATGGTAATTGGATTATTTTGAATAATAATATGATTTCCTAAACAATGTTTTCTGTTTGAGAATAATTTTTTAACTGTGAAATTTGTATATGATATGAAATTTCTTTCAGTTATTGCATTGCATTATATTAACACTTCTATTATCATTGCATTGATTCACATTACCAACAATATTTTCAATAAGTTTTATATAAAATTTATTGTAGTTAATATTTTTAAGTTGTTGAAATCAATTTGAAATATAGTCTGTGAATTTTATAATTTACAGTTAATGAATGAATTTATAATAGTCATAATAATTTTATTATAGGACCACTTTCTCCTAGTTTAAGCATTCCTCTTCCTCCGTTAGAATTAACTACACAAGAACAACAAGAATTGGGATATCTTCCAAATAGAGATGACTTTGAAAAGGTTTGTTGATTTTACATTAAAAGTTTTGTTGTTGATAAAATATGTATAATTTTTAAAAATTTTTTCACTTAGGAATATGATAATGAAGCAGAATCTTTGACATCAAATTTAGTAATCAATAATGATGATGATGAAGTTGACACAGGTAAGAATTATTTAAAAATGAATTATATTCTAAATTTTGCATTTTTATATAAATTAAATCTGATATTAGATTATTAGATTTATTATTATTAAATTTTAATATTTTTCATTTAATTTAAAAAAAAATTTCTGGTTTTAAAATTACTGATTTGGAATAAAGTAATATTTATAAGTCTAAAAAAATTATATCTTAAATGGTTTGTTGTATAGTGTTATTTTTTAATACAATTTCAATTATATAATTTTATTTTCAGCTCTAAAGCTTGCTTTAATTAGCATTTACACAACCAGACTAGAAGAAAGGTTAAAAAGGAAAAAGATAGCTAGAGAGTTTGGACTAGTCAATCAGTTTTTCAGTTCCTCAAATAAACAAAAATCTCAAAATCCTCGGAAGAAATCTTTCAAAGATGAAAGGTAAAATACTTTTTTTTCTACTGAAGTCATTTAACTATGATTTTTAATTTACCTAAAATAAATTCTCTTGAAAAAAGTTTTCTTTTTATATTTAAGTATGAAATATTAAATTAAACTGCAAAACTTTTTATATACAAACAAATTTATAAATGAAAATTACAAAACATTTTAAAGCAAAAACTTAGATACAAATTTCAATAATTTACTTTCTTCCATGTTATAATCAGATATGTTGAAAATGAAAAAACTCATTTAAACCTGGTTATAATGAAGGCATACAGATTAATTGTAATTTGAAAATCTGAAATGTACTCAATAATTTTGTACATTAAATATCAATCTGACTGTCAATTGAGATTAAACTGTAAGTTATGCTCACATTCACCACTCCAAGTACAAGAAAGGAAGGGGGGAAAAATCATATTTTTATTGCACTACTTCAGAAAAGAATTTACAGCAAATTGTGATTTTTTGCTTTATTTAGTAATAATTAAATTTTTAATCATTTTAAAATTTATTCTAGGATATCAAAGTGAAATTTTGTTCAATAAACTTAATATGTAAAAATTATTTTTTAGAGAACTTCAGGAAAGAATGCAAGTTTTTTGTAGATTCCAAACAGCTTATGAACATGAACAATTATTCAGGGATCTTCAAAGTAAGTAGTAATAAATATATTTTTAAAATCAAATAATAAAAGAGATCATTTGTTAATAACATATAATTATATAATGTATTTAATTAATTTCTATTTCTAATATAGTTACTTTCTCTTTTATTGTTTACTAAATTATCTTAGAATTGAATTAATTCCTAATTATTATTAATCTAAGCAGATAGAGGTAGAAATGTTCTCCCCAATTTACTTTTAGCTGGTTGATTGTTAAGCTTACTATTTTTTCCAACTATTAAATAATATGTTTTAGTTTATTTATTTTTTAAGGATAACTGGATTATGGACTAGTATGCTATTGAACTATTGTATTTAATAACAAATCAATACTTTACTAAAAGTATTGATTTGTTATTAAATACAGCTAAGGAAGTTTGCTGTATCAGCCAATTGCAAGTAAACAGCCTAAAAATTTATATGGGAGAACACTGAACTAGTTTTTTGTTATGAATTTAATAACAATAAATTTATGAAATATAAATAACTTGATGTTAATTGTTTTTGTTTTTTCGTAAATTTTAGGGGAAAAAGAATTACATCTTAAAATAAAAGAGCTTTTCAAATATAGAAAAAATGGTCTGACAAAATTACAAGGTATTTGTTAAGAATATTCATAATTAGATAAATTTTAATATAATAATGAAACAAAACTTAATTTTTAGATTAAATATTTATAAATAAATACTAAATGTAAAATATTTTAAATGTAAATAAATTATAGTTTCCTCTATACCAAATACTCAAAGAAAATAATAATGCTATGGTTTTTTGTATTAAATAGCTATATGCAATTGATTTTATGTGAATGCTTTCTTTAAAAGTTGTTACATTAAACAACTTAATTAGAAAATTAAAAAAAAAATTTTTTTAATTAATTTACATGATCAGTAATGCATAATTTCGCCACTGCTAAAAGCACTGTGTGGTATGTCTCAAAAATTTAGATAATGAAATTAATAATAAATTTTTCTTTGGAAAATTGTTTTATGTAAATTGCAATTATGTATAAAGACTACACATTCAAAACTAAATAAGAATATTAAAAGTAAAGGTATCCAATTCACTGGTTGTGAAAAACCACAAGTCATACAAAAATTATGAATTTTGTTAACTGATCATGAAATCTTTACTAGTAATTAATTGAAACAAATTTTTCAGTTTCTGGAAGGGAATAATTGTTTACATCTTATCAATAACTAATTTTAATCTATTTTGTATCCAAATATTAGGTACAAAACTATGTCATTTGAAAATTAGTTACCTAGATATTTGGTACCCATGAGCATCTTTTAATACAAGTATATCCAATAAAACTTGTTATCATTTTAATTTATTGAATAAGCTAATTTGTATTAAATTGTGCAGATAGACTATGTTGTAAGTGAAGATGTGGTAAATTACAAGGTTAATTTGAAAATGAAAAATGGTTTACTTTCACTTACAAAGAGGGGGTCAGACATTTGAGTCTCTGATTCACATGAAATTTGGGAGCATGTAGAACAGTGTTTCTCAATGGGGGCGATATCGCCCCATGTGTGCGTTTTTCCATGTTGAGGGGCGATTAGTAACAATTTATATTTTGGGAGCAAAAAAACAATTTTCTGGGCAATATAGTAAAACATTATATTAAGAATAATTAGATATTTTATTTGTTATATCATACAATAATTAAACAAATAACATTATACTAGTCACTAGTCTATTCAATGCAGTATGAATTTGGCATTAACGTTGGCCCTCGGCATTGGAATTTTGAAGTGAAGGGGGCGACAATTCGTTAGAGGTTGAGAAACACTGATGTAGACCATAACACAAACAACTTCTTGTCCAAATAATAGGACCCACTCCTCAGGTGTTTCCAAAAAACAATTTTCTGAAAATTGAGTGTTTAGCTTATAACACTTTGGAAGTTTTGCATTTCCTTACAGTAGTAATAGCTATTACTATTTTAAGACATTAGACATTGGAGTGACACAATGTAGGATTGAAACTTTGCAATTTTGTTTGTGTGTGTAGCAAAATTATTTTATTATTTTACCATATCATTAGCATTATTATTACTGTTATTAGTTTTTATATTTAAATCTTATAAAGCAAATTAAAGTAGATGTGAAAAGTGAAACTTTAAAAAATATATATATATACTATATCACCATGAGTGAATAAGCTTCAGACATTACTGCACTTGGATGAAAAAGACAAATCTGTTATGAAAATAGGGTAGCATAGTTGTAGTTTTGTTTTTTTTTTACTTGTTAATATTATGGGCCATTTTCTCTTGCTCTCATGATTATTACACTTCAGATATAACAGTACCATTATAAAATATGAAGAAACAAAATTTTTATTTGATGACATGAAAGAGAGGTATGGAGACAATATTTTCACTAAATAGGAAATGACGTCACAATTTTTTAATTACTTATATTTCAGTTTTCACAGGCTTCACTTTTGAAAATGCTTGAGAAGTGAGTCCTATTATTTGGTCAAGGAATTGTTTGTGTTTAGGGCTATATGCTCACGAAGTTTCAATGGTTTTGGAGACCTGAACATCTGAACCTCTCCTTGTTAGTGCATTTGATCTTCACTTCCATCTCACAAAACAAGAACAATGAAATGAGCAACTGTCATAACCAGATGATGACAAATGTTATTGGGACAATAACATTTTACATCCAATAAGAGCAAAGTATTTTTGATGCTTAATTTTCATATTTGTTGAAAGAAAATATGAAAAAGAAATATAGCAATTACAAGAATGTAATTAGAAAGTATATTTGTAAAGTGAAATTAAAAAACAACTTTATTTTCAGGAATCACTCCTTTACAGTGGTAGCAAATATTTTTTTGACTAGTTAAAAAAAGGTTATCAAGTTGGAATGCAAGAGTGATTTGCATAAAAAGAAAAATTTATCTGAACATCATTATTATTGGTGCAATATTTGCTCTGCTTTTTGTTTTTGTCATTACTTCACTCTGTATACGAACTAAGCTTAAACAAAGATTTGCATTCCTGAAAACATGCACATTTCAGAAATAGTCTCCACATAAGTCATGAATGTACAGTATTTTATATATATATATATATAATTTGAAAAATAATTTTATATTTATTGAAATCAGTTGTCATAAACAAAGATGACATGTCTGAACAGAAGTGGAAGAATGTATGTGCATTATATTAATTTTCAAAGAGTTTCATAAATTGACTGCTGAGATGATAAAATTTTTCATATCTTTATAAACTGTCAATGGTTATTCCTCTCCATTCTCTTCAGTTTGCTTATCAATTTGGCATATCTTGTGAAACAGTTTTACACAATTTGATTTTCCAAACTGAGAAAGCTCTGGATATGAAGGAAATTGCATTAGCTGCTTTTTCTTGACATTGAGGATGCTTTTGAGGTTAATAAATATATTGCACTTGGATTTGGTGTCAGTCTTGTTCTTGTTTGCTAGGTTAACTTTATGCTTTATCATTTTAGTCTCAAGGAATTTCCCTTTTTTGAAATTCCTTGAGAGCAAGGTTGTTTTTTTCTCACCTCTGTTGTTTGTTCTTTTGAGGCATCTTAGTAGTTTGAATTGTATGCCTCATTGACATGCTGACAATATTGTTCTGCTTTGTGCTGGAAAATTTTCTGATACTCTGTCAGACCTTTTTCAAAGAGGCCTGATGTATGCAGAGCCAGTTCAAGCCTCAATCCTAATGTTAATCCCTGTCAGCCATTCATTTGTGTATGATATGTGCTGATATTCCCACTGCAATATTACATTTATATATTCAGGTATCAGCCATATTTTTTTTGTTTGGTAGTGAAAACCATGTTGAATTTCATTTAAAATTTCAGCATTACGAATTTTAGTAATATGTTTAAACATTTTTCTCCACTTAATGCTAACCTAATTCTCTCTTGTCTCTAGCTGAAGTGCATTTAAATTTTCCCATACATTTTCTGGGATGGAATTTGTTACTTTTTGTCAAAATTCTCTTTGGAATAGTGGATATATTTATAATTGTAAATCTATCTTCATTTTTTGTTGTTGTTTTAATTGTCTAATTATTTGTAATTTCTCACTTATAAATTGCTTTCCATTTTACAAATTGCTNTTTAAGTTTTTCTATTGAAAAAATTTTTTATTATTAATTTTCTTTTAAAGCAACGTGGGATATAGAACAAAAACATCACATTCATGACCATACTGTAATGGAAGGAGGTAAGATATAATTGTGACTTTAAATTTACTAGTAACAATAATTTTTTTCTAATTATAAAGTTGATTATATTTCACACAAAACATTCATATTTTTGTTTGACAAATTTCTTTGTCCATTTCCTATGGTAAAAGTTTATTTATAAACAAGATCAGAAATTATTATGAACAGTTGAAAAAGAAAATGTCTTATCAAATTTGTATGTGATTATCTGACCAATATTATACTGTAGCAGTAGTATGACTGACTAATATTTTGACCATATATTAACCTGTGACAACATGCAGTTTCTGTTTAGCATGGATGTATGGAAAAGTGGCAATTTTCCACTGACTTTTCATGCCTAATTACACGATACATAATTACCATTCCTTGAATTTGACAATTCTGAAAATCCTGTGATGTGTCTTCTCTTCACATGTAAAATTTCAAGATCATACATTGTTTAGTTTATTAGATATTGTTTTGTTTATAAAAACAGTGTCTTTAACTCTTATCTTATAGGAAATATCACCAGATTTGCAATAATGTGGACTAATATGAAACAAATACAGCTGCAAATGAATGATGAGAGGGCTGAGATATTTCTCAAAGGACCAAAAAAATGATTTTTCAAAAAAAATTTAAATTTTTGAAGGTCATAGCAGGAAGGCTATCTTATGGAGATAAGCATTTAAGGGTGTAGTGAATCACAGTCCTCCATGTTATGACATCATGCATAGTTGACAAAGATCTATGATATCATTATTTTCTTATGACAATTTTGAGAATCCTCTATGACTGATAGCATTGAAAAGTGATGTCATAGTGGAAAACCTCTGCCTCACCCATGCAATCATGTAAAAAAAATTATACATGAGAATAGAAAAATGCAAGGCAGCAATTTTTTTGAAAGCCTGTGATAAGTATAAAAAATTTTTACAAATGAAATTTTTACATAGTCAGATGATAATAAATATATTCTATAAAAATAAGAGTTTATTTTTGACAAGATTATGTCTTGTTTATAAAATCGTACTGTCACCCGTTCTTATCAGCATAGAGGTATGAAGGAGTACATGTAAAATGTTGATATTTGGCACAGAGTATTAGGTGCCCAAATCATTTGTGCATAAAAAATTCTAGACTCGTAGGTAGTCAGGGGATCGAGAATCGAGTCAAAATAAAATACAAAATGGCAACCATCTTCTACAAACAGGCAAAACAGCCACCTCACCCCACTGAAGTCGGGTAGGGGAGAGTACCATCCACAGTCATTTTAAGAAGTGAACTCTGACCTTAGGACTGAACACGTAGCTTCTTCTAGGTTAAATAAAATTTGTAATCTACTTTTGTAAATTTGGGAATGCTTCAAATATGACGTTAAAGCGGTTTTATGTCGTTACAAGTGGGCTTTTTTTAACATTATCTAGTATAGTAAAATCGTAGGACTGATAAAAATTTGATGTTATATTAGGGTTATCATTACATTTGATGACATTATAATTGGGTTAAACTGTATATTGTTTGTGCAAAATAAAAAAAATAATTTCGGACAATACAATAGCCACAATTATTTTTTTCAAAACCGGGAACTTTTCGTTACACATTGACAAAAATTCAACCCGGGCTGACACGCAATAGAGAGAAATTTTGAAATTAGATAAGTTAATTTCATCAAGGATGCATCATGGACGATCTCGTGGTTGTGGCCGGTGAAGTTTGAATGATCGCGCCCAAACGCAGTGATATCAAAGAAGAATGAGAACGAGACCTGCCTTGAGCATCAAAGTGATTCTGTCTCCAAGACATAGTCTTGTCCCAAATACGGTTTTGCCGTTTTACTTGTTAAATTTATGATTGATGAAATGAATTAGAATATAAAATAGAAATAAATAATTATACAAAATAGAAATAAAATCTTTCAATTTGATGTCATGCTTATTGCAATATTTTACATGATATGGTAATTGGATTATTTTGAATAATAATATGATTTCCTAAACAATGTTTTCTGTTTGAGAATAATTTTTTAACTGTGAAATTTGTATATGATATGAAATTTCTTTCAGTTATTGCATTGCATTATATTAACACTTCTATTATCATTGCATTGATTCACATTACCAACAATATTTTCAATAAGTTTTATATAAAATTTATTGTAGTTAATATTTTTAAGTTGTTGAAATCAATTTGAAATATAGTCTGTGAATTTTATAATTTACAGTTAATGAATGAATTTATAATAGTCATAATAATTTTATTATAGGACCACTTTCTCCTAGTTTAAGCATTCCTCTTCCTCCGTTAGAATTAACTACACAAGAACAACAAGAATTGGGATATCTTCCAAATAGAGATGACTTTGAAAAGGTTTGTTGATTTTACATTAAAAGTTTTGTTGTTGATAAAATATGTATAATTTTTAAAAATTTTTTCACTTAGGAATATGATAATGAAGCAGAATCTTTGACATCAAATTTAGTAATCAATAATGATGATGATGAAGTTGACACAGGTAAGAATTATTTAAAAATGAATTATATTCTAAATTTNTTAATGTACTGTACTGTACATATAATGAAAAAATTACCAATTATTTTTCCTTTATATAGTTTATAACTAGAATTTTAATACAGGTTTATTAAAACCCAGAAACATTCCATATATAAAATTAAAGTTTTAGATGTAAACTATCAAAATTAAACTTGCTAAGTTTGTCAATGACTAAATCAAGCTGTCTCACAAGGGAGATTAGGAAACCTGGAAATTTAGAAAATCTGAAACATTGTGTGCAATAGAGTAGTTCATTCATAACATAAAACTATTGTTCATGCCATATTATGGTTTGAGGAGGGAAATCACTCCTTGAAAAAATGTTTATTTTTTGTTTTTTGTGGAATAATTGCTAATTGGTGAGAGATGTTGAAAAAAGTTTAAAAAAGTTGCATCTTTTTTTTTATATGTATAAAGTTATTTATAGATAAATATTTAGAAAATTCATATTTTTCAAATTACCCCATCACCAGTCTTCAAAATAAAGTTTTATACAGTATCTTGTTTATTGTGCATTTGGCAAATCTAAACTAATATTATAAAGAGGTAATGTTTGTAAGTTTGTATGTAGCGGGTAATCTCCAAAACTACTCATCCGATATTTTGAATGGAACTTCAGGGTGGACATAGGCTGTATATTATTCTGTTAAACATTCATATAAATTAAAAGATATCATCTAGGGTTAAGGCTTTTATGTCCAACAGATAGTGCTACGAGTATGACGACCTAAGTTTGCTTTTCTGTGAGGATGAACTAAAGTAGATCATCTTTTATCTATCTATATAAATAAAAATGTAATGTTCATTTGTTCCTATCGATTCCTTTGAAATTTTGACACAACGTTGCATTCGAATATGCACATGTTTTTATATAATATACATGTCGTAATTCCCTCCACTGGGGGGGGGGGAGATGGACAGGATTAAGGCTTACCATGAAGAACTCTGCTTCTATTTATACTATTTTAGATGCGGATTTTTGCGTTTTTGATTGTGTTCTAATAGGGTACATTGAGAATGTACACTAAGAAAGGATTTTTCGAAAAATTCCCTACTACGGGGGAAGTGTTATAAATTTTTTATAGATACATTTTGAGCCACAACAATGCATGATGGGGTCTGCTAGTTAGTCTAATAAAATAACACCTCAAGTACTGTATGTATGTTGTATGGAGAGAGGTTATGGAGAAATATATTTCATAAATTTAGAAAATACAAAAACTTTATTTAGTTGAATAATGTTATTCTCGGAATGTATTTAAAGTAATTTCTGTATTTGTTAGTAAAATTAGTTCATGTAATTTAACAATTGTAAAAGAAATATTTATTTTTAACACTTTCCACTCTGTGGTCACTAAGACAGGGTCGTGCTGTATAGTGCCAAAATTGCCACTTGGCAATATTTTTATTAAAGTGGCAATAAAATTTTGGCTTTTTTCAACATTCAGTGTGAAATTGAATAACCAATCACACTTCAGGAAAAACAGCAACATGTCAAGCTTCCATACAATGGGAGTCCCGTGCATCACACATCTAGCAACTTCATGACGTCACACGGCAAGGCCGAGAACAAAAGTAGGAAGTGGCATCAAGAATCAAAAGCAGTTTTGTGCAATACTATCCAGCGTTTCTAGATTGGGATTTTTTTATTGACTGACAGAAATTGTGGGGAATTTTTTGTGATGACTTTTTTCATTTTGATGTTTTTCAGTAGACTTAAAAGTTTGACATGACAGAACTTATGAAATACTGTTTAAACATTGTGATCAAATGTGTTATTTGGAATTATTTGTTAAAAAATTATTCAAAACTGGTTCCTATTGCTAATGGGATAGCCAGACTTTCAGCTTTCCAGTTCGAAGGAAACTCGGTGAGCAAATAAAACCCTAAACATAAACATCTCACCATCCAAATAATAGGACCCACTTCTCAAGCATTTTAAAAAATTGGGCCTCTGAAAGTTTAGTGTTTAGCTTATAAGTCTTTGGAAGTTTTAAGTTCTAGAATGGCGATAGGCGAGTGAATAAGATGCTAGGTGTTGGAGCTAGATGAAGTAGTTTCAAACCTTCTGAGTTTTGGTTTGGTTAATTTTATGTGAAACTTTATTATTTTACTGCATTATTATTATTATTATTTTTCACATTATAAAATAAGAAATTAAAAATTGTGGCGTCATTTCCTGTTTATGGGAAACGAGCCTCTGTAGATTTAACTCTTACATTATTGAATAAAATTTGAATTTTTTTAAACAATTTTGATTTAACATAATTTTAAAAAATAATAATTTGTCAAGTATGATTTTAATCAGGAATGAGATTTAACAATGATTCAAAGTGTAAATAAAAATTTAATGAGTAGGTTAAGGAAAACATCAGCATTTAATGTTGAGTTACTAAATAACAGTTCAGTCAAAAAGAAATGCTTCATAACTTTTCAGATTCTAGTGAAAAACATGTTACCAAAGCAAACTAAATTTAATTTATGGTTGTTTGATAAAGGGCTGTGCCCTGAATTTTTTGGATGGTTGATGAATGTGAAATAAGTATGCAAAAGTCTTCTGGCCTTTGTACACTTGTTTCACATTTTTCAAAAGTAATTTTCACTAAGTAATGTTGGCAAGCATGCTCTTGATACACAATCTGCTGATGCAAGTCATATTAATTAAACTTACACAACAAAAAGCCACAGCAATGTTTTTTGACTAAACTGAGTCCCACTTCAGCTGATAACAGTAATCCTAGCAGTGCTTCATGCTTAAAAGTTCAAGAGTGTTATCATGGTTTTCATCAAAAAATTATGAGAAGCAACCTGATATGCATGTAGATATTTTTGTGGATTCTCAGTGTCATTAAAAAGAAGATGTCTGAATTCATTGAAAACAATTCATGGCTCTTTAAGAGAGTGCTTTGAGATAGTTCTATTGCAAACCAATATCAGTCAGTCAGTAACAAATCATCATACACAATTAATTATGACTTTGCTTACTATTTTCAAAGTTTCCTAGTTGACAATGTAAAGCCTTCTAGTGATATAAATTGTTCTGATGATCATTGAATAAAATAATGCAAAGACCAAATCAATTTTTTTGATATCAGATTTATGAAATGGTAATGAAGAAATAGTAAGTACAGATTTTTTACAAGTGCAGAGCAGCAAGTCTGTTATTTTTCCAACTATCTGTTACTTTTTCTTCCATATTTTCAATATTTGTGACTCAACAATTAAGTGAACATTCAATATGAGAATACAGATTAAAATATGCAGTATTGTTGAAATAGAAGAAAAAACATCAGACAAAACATTCAGAAAAATCATCATTTATAGTGGTGTCATGCTTGAAGCACTTGCATTTTCACAGATACCATTTGGGCTATGGCATCTAGAAACATAATATTGTATATTGTAACTTGAAATTTCTAAATGCAGATTGCTGTGAATATATATTAGTTATCTTTGTCATACATGGGCACTGATCCATAAGGGGTAGAGGGGACATACCCCTTAATATTTTTGTATCAACACATCTCTCCAAGATATATATGTACAGTAGAGCATTGTTTATCCAAATCAATTTGGGACTGGGGTTGTTCGGATAACCGATTATGTATGAAAAAATTTATTAACCTATCCCATGTTGAAATATTTCTCCATTGTGTGTCGCTTCAATTTGAATTTTTATCAATGTTAAGCCTAATGTAAACTTTTTAAAATAATAATCGTGGCTATTGTATTGTTAAAAATTATTTCTTTATTTTGTACAAACAAAATAAATATATTGAAANTAAAATTACTGATTTGGAATAAAGTAATATTTATAAGTCTAAAAAAATTATATCTTAAATGGTTTGTTGTATAGTGTTATTTTTTAATACAATTTCAATTATATAATTTTATTTTCAGCTCTAAAGCTTGCTTTAATTAGCATTTACACAACCAGACTAGAAGAAAGGTTAAAAAGGAAAAAGATAGCTAGAGAGTTTGGACTAGTCAATCAGTTTTTCAGTTCCTCAAATAAACAAAAATCTCAAAATCCTCGGAAGAAATCTTTCAAAGATGAAAGGTAAAATACTTTTTTTTCTACTGAAGTCATTTAACTATGATTTTTAATTTACCTAAAATAAATTCTCTTGAAAAAAGTTTTCTTTTTATATTTAAGTATGAAATATTAAATTAAACTGCAAAACTTTTTATATACAAACAAATTTATAAATGAAAATTACAAAACATTTTAAAGCAAAAACTTAGATACAAATTTCAATAATTTACTTTCTTCCATGTTATAATCAGATATGTTGAAAATGAAAAAACTCATTTAAACCTGGTTATAATGAAGGCATACAGATTAATTGTAATTTGAAAATCTGAAATGTACTCAATAATTTTGTACATTAAATATCAATCTGACTGTCAATTGAGATTAAACTGTAAGTTATGCTCACATTCACCACTCCAAGTACAAGAAAGGAAGGGGGGAAAAATCATATTTTTATTGCACTACTTCAGAAAAGAATTTACAGCAAATTGTGATTTTTTGCTTTATTTAGTAATAATTAAATTTTTAATCATTTGGCAATACTAATTTAATGAAAGATTATCAATGATTAAATTAAAATCTAGACAGGACTCTGTTTGGATTTTGCAAAAATCTAGGAACCAGAGAAGCAATATGTTGTACGAACATTCTTCTACAAAAGAACTATATCTACCAACAGGATACATATTTCTGTTTCGTTGATTTTAAAAAAGCTTTTGATAGAGTTAATCATACAAAATTACTACAGCTACTTCAAAAACAAGGTTTGCATATAGTAAAAAAAACCTTTACTGGAACCAAACGGCTGAAATTGTAAATTATGAGACATCACTGAACGAAGCAGAGATAAAACGAGGAATACGACAAGGGTGCATTTTATTACCTCTTCAATGTATATTCAGACCATATTTTCAAAAAAGCATTAAAATTAATGGAGTTATAATAAACAACATAAAATATGTTGATACGGTACTTACGACAAACACTAGAAGACTTACAGGAGTTTGGCATCAAAATTAATATTGGAGAAACAAAATACATGATAATCAGCAGGGGATTAAATAACAACACCCAAGTACTAATTGATGGGCTAGAACTTGAAAAGGTGGATGCNTTCTAGGATATCAAAGTGAAATTTTGTTCAATAAACTTAATATGTAAAAATTATTTTTTAGAGAACTTCAGGAAAGAATGCAAGTTTTTTGTAGATTCCAAACAGCTTATGAACATGAACAATTATTCAGGGATCTTCAAAGTAAGTAGTAATAAATATATTTTTAAAATCAAATAATAAAAGAGATCATTTGTTAATAACATATAATTATATAATGTATTTAATTAATTTCTATTTCTAATATAGTTACTTTCTCTTTTATTGTTTACTAAATTATCTTAGAATTGAATTAATTCCTAATTATTATTAATCTAAGCAGATAGAGGTAGAAATGTTCTCCCCAATTTACTTTTAGCTGGTTGATTGTTAAGCTTACTATTTTTTCCAACTATTAAATAATATGTTTTAGTTTATTTATTTTTTAAGGATAACTGGATTATGGACTAGTATGCTATTGAACTATTGTATTTAATAACAAATCAATACTTTACTAAAAGTATTGATTTGTTATTAAATACAGCTAAGGAAGTTTGCTGTATCAGCCAATTGCAAGTAAACAGCCTAAAAATTTATATGGGAGAACACTGAACTAGTTTTTTGTTATGAATTTAATAACAATAAATTTATGAAATATAAATAACTTGATGTTAATTGTTTTTGTTTTTTCGTAAATTTTAGGGGAAAAAGAATTACATCTTAAAATAAAAGAGCTTTTCAAATATAGAAAAAATGGTCTGACAAAATTACAAGGTATTTGTTAAGAATATTCATAATTAGATAAATTTTAATATAATAATGAAACAAAACTTAATTTTTAGATTAAATATTTATAAATAAATACTAAATGTAAAATATTTTAAATGTAAATAAATTATAGTTTCCTCTATACCAAATACTCAAAGAAAATAATAATGCTATGGTTTTTTGTATTAAATAGCTATATGCAATTGATTTTATGTGAATGCTTTCTTTAAAAGTTGTTACATTAAACAACTTAATTAGAAAATTAAAAAAAAAATTTTTTTAATTAATTTACATGATCAGTAATGCATAATTTCGCCACTGCTAAAAGCACTGTGTGGTATGTCTCAAAAATTTAGATAATGAAATTAATAATAAATTTTTCTTTGGAAAATTGTTTTATGTAAATTGCAATTATGTATAAAGACTACACATTCAAAACTAAATAAGAATATTAAAAGTAAAGGTATCCAATTCACTGGTTGTGAAAAACCACAAGTCATACAAAAATTATGAATTTTGTTAACTGATCATGAAATCTTTACTAGTAATTAATTGAAACAAATTTTTCAGTTTCTGGAAGGGAATAATTGTTTACATCTTATCAATAACTAATTTTAATCTATTTTGTATCCAAATATTAGGTACAAAACTATGTCATTTGAAAATTAGTTACCTAGATATTTGGTACCCATGAGCATCTTTTAATACAAGTATATCCAATAAAACTTGTTATCATTTTAATTTATTGAATAAGCTAATTTGTATTAAATTGTGCAGATAGACTATGTTGTAAGTGAAGATGTGGTAAATTACAAGGTTAATTTGAAAATGAAAAATGGTTTACTTTCACTTACAAAGAGGGGGTCAGACATTTGAGTCTCTGATTCACATGAAATTTGGGAGCATGTAGAACAGTGTTTCTCAATGGGGGCGATATCGCCCCATGTGTGCGTTTTTCCATGTTGAGGGGCGATTAGTAACAATTTATATTTTGGGAGCAAAAAAACAATTTTCTGGGCAATATAGTAAAACATTATATTAAGAATAATTAGATATTTTATTTGTTATATCATACAATAATTAAACAAATAACATTATACTAGTCACTAGTCTATTCAATGCAGTATGAATTTGGCATTAACGTTGGCCCTCGGCATTGGAATTTTGAAGTGAAGGGGGCGACAATTCGTTAGAGGTTGAGAAACACTGATGTAGACCATAACACAAACAACTTCTTGTCCAAATAATAGGACCCACTCCTCAGGTGTTTCCAAAAAACAATTTTCTGAAAATTGAGTGTTTAGCTTATAACACTTTGGAAGTTTTGCATTTCCTTACAGTAGTAATAGCTATTACTATTTTAAGACATTAGACATTGGAGTGACACAATGTAGGATTGAAACTTTGCAATTTTGTTTGTGTGTGTAGCAAAATTATTTTATTATTTTACCATATCATTANTTTCGTCGATGTTAAGCCTAATGTAAACTTTTTAAAATAATAATCGTGGCTATTGTATTGTTAAAAATTATTTCTTTATTTTGTACAAACAAAATAAATATATTGAAAAATATAAAAACAAAAAAATTATATTTTGGAAATTAATCTAGTATCAAAAACGTTTGATTCAGCACGACTAGAGTGCTTTTGGTTAACCAACATTTCGGTTGATCGGATTTTGGATAAATGCCGCTCTACTGTAGTTTTATTTATACCATACTACGAAAATTAGGAATAGAAATGTGTTCACTCTACACCACAGGTAAACTTACATTCACTCAAAATGAGAATTTTTCTTACTCCTTGTCATTGTCCTAACTCCATAATATATATATACAGATTGACACTAATAGTGTGATACCATGATTCCACAGGAATGGCAGCTTATCTGACCTGCAAGTCACTAATAATGTATGTGTCTTGATTTAGTGATCCTAAAGGAAGAACATTGCAGCTTGTGCTAGACCATGCTTTAAATGAATTGGGCAAAATTATCTTTGCAGTTCTTGTACTAAATTATTTGAACAATGTCAATCTCTTGAAGTATTTTTTGAATGTTATACCTACAAACTATGGATTGTTTACATCAATCATGACTTACATGCCAATTAGCTTCATTTTTAAAGAAGCCCACCAACAAAGCTCAATTGCATTTTATTATTTCCAGTGTTGATCTCTGTGGTAGATTTGGTGATAAATTTCACAAACAGGAATCTCTCATTCATACTTTGTATGAAAAATCAAGAATTATAAATTCTTCCTATGATAGGAAGGTAAAGTAATCTGATGTAATGAAGACTGTGAATAAGACAGCCTTATGGGATGAATCTTTTACAAATCTTTATGGGATATCAAAATCTTTGAGTAGGGCAATTTGTTGCTCTTCTTCAAAGAAATTGTTCTCAGTCAGCACATTCAGAATGTCTTGAATTGGCTCCAAGAGGAAAAGATACTTGATTCTTGTCAGTATATATAACGATACTTCATTTCAGCCTGCAAACACCACTTTGAGAAGACATTGCCATTAGTGCCAGCATCAGCAATATTTCTTAAAATGGTTTTTCACACAGGTTCTCTTCTGAAGCCAGAGGAACTGTTACACAACTACATTTTGAATCTTTTTTTTCTTCCAGTTTCAGAAAGTGTAGTTGTGTAGACATTGAGTGTATAAGGACTCTTCCCATTGAGAAAGTTACTATAGAGAATAAAATTGCTCCTTTAGCTATTTATTGGAAATAAATTTTTTTTTTTAAATCTGAAATATCTTTGTCACTAGAGGTCATTCAGGCTTCTTTAAGTGTGGATCCTGAAAAGAGGTTTTTCTTTATCTGGAAAACTTTTGACAGAAAACAAGGCATGCTTGGGAATGTTAAGGTACTAAATGTCAGATTAAATTACAAGATGTGCTAAAGGAATATGGTAATAAATCAGAGTATGTACGGGTACAAAAAACTGATGGCATTAACAAGGTCAATCAATGTTTCTGACATGGTTTATATTGAGAAGAAATGTATGGAAAGACAGTTCAGAAGAAAATCAAGAGGAATAGTAAAACCTTATGGAAAAGAAACAGAAGGAGGATGTACAAAAAAAACAAAACATTCTGTTGATAAACTTTAAGAAAATCTTAATGAAGCAAAGCAGACGTACAAAATAATGCCAGGACACAAAATAAAACAACAATTGAAGGGACATGATAGTGTCAAGCCTCATTTACACTATTTTGAGAGAATACAGTTCGAAAACTTAATCAAATTGCCAAATCACATTTCGTAATCAAATGTGTGTTTGCACATCTTTATTATTGTTTTAGGTTTTTGAATGGAATACATACATGCATTGTTTATGAAGAATTATGGTGCACATACTTTGTATTGAAGTCTTTTCAGAGGCACTGCATCAGTATTTTGTGGCTTGGTACTATCTTGGCCTTAAAGAATAACAATAATCATACATTGGAGGTTTGCATGTATGTATTTTTCAGCATTTATTTTTAAATTTTATTTTAAAACATTACAATCATGAGGCAATTAAATAAAAAACAAACAAAATCATGGACATTACCTATTACAATATACAAAATAATATGAATATCAACTTATAAGTTTGTGATATCTATGGATTGAGGTCATTATTGCTTTTGGGACAATAATAAAAGTAAAAAAAAAAGTGGAAAATACCAGAAGTTAGCCAAAGATAACTTAAACCAAATACAATCTTGCATTATAACTCCTCAACTAAGTGGAGATCTTCTGTAACTTACGAAATTTGTTACGAAATTAGCCTGAAAAGACACAAAATCAAGCAGCAATGTATGTTGCTGGATTTTGTGTCTTTTCAGGAAAGGAATCTTAACAGCCAGGAAAGTTATGCAACAAGTTGCATAATTTTCCTGGCTGTTATGATATTTTATTTTAAAAAATAACTTTTATATTTTTAATCATATTATTATTAAATAAATTGTGTGGTGTCATCTGTTATGAGATTTTATTTTTTATAAGGAGAAAAATTTTTATATTGTTAATTATTATAAATAGCAAAATACCTAATTTTGAGGGTAGAGATGAGTTTTATAAAAAAAATTGTAAATGCTGATAACGAGTGAAATCTTCATTAAGTCCAATCCCTCTTGAGATACGACACATGATACCCTTCTATCTTTCCATTCTTTTGACCTTTAACCACAAAATTTAATAACATCAGTTTCCCTTACAAGCTACCAAGCCAAATTTCATTAATCCATCCTGAAATATGAGATTTGCAAAATACTTTGTAGGTCAAATTTGATACAATTCCAATACTTATCAGCTGTGTACATAACAGCTGAGAAAGTAAAAGTATCTAGTGAGTATGTGTGTGATCATTATAACTAACTACCTTCACATTTAAGAATGTCAGATATAGTAGACCTTAAATATTAAAGTGTTGAGGAAAAGTTAGTAGTTAGGTTTTGTAAATATGGGAAAAATAGTGCCAGGCTAGATTTGTTTTGTTTACACACTTAATTCTAAAAGTAAAGAACATTTGTTTCTCTAAATATTTTTATTTAAGATAATGAAACAAAAGTTATTTTACAACACAATATGATACCTTAACTATTTTTCTACATAGTTACTATAGAAATTTAAACATTTGTCATAGTGTATCACCAGCTTTTCTCTGCCATATGCGCACTCGGTTAATGTCAACTTCTTGAACCAGTCATTAACAGCCTCTTTCAGTTTGTTGTCGCTTCCATAGTGATTCCTGGCCAAAAAATCCTTCAATTTTGGGAAAAAATGTTAATAACTCAGAACCAAGTCCTAGTTATAAGGAGGATGTTCAAAAACTTCCCACTCAAACTGCTGAAGTAAGTTCATTAATGCAACAGCATGTGGACATGTGTTATCCTGAAGAAGCACAATTCCTCTGAACAACAATCCCTGCTGTTTTGAATGGCGTGGCATAGTTTGTGAAGGGTTTGACAATAGGCCACTGCATTTATGGTCTCCCCTCTAGGCATGTAGTCAATGAGTAGGATTCCCTTTTGATCCCAAAACACTGTAGTCACAACCTGTTTGGTGCTCAGAATTTGTTTGGCTTTTTTTGGTCTTGTTGGGATCCAAAATGATGCCATTCCATTGACTGGCACTTTGTTTCTGGCGTTTTATGCGAAATTCAGGTCTCATCACCAGTAACAATGTGGTTTTTGAACCACATTGTTACTGTTTTACTTGCCATCCTTGTTGTACTGACTGAGAAAAGTTAGTGCAGCTTCCATCCTGTTTTGTTTGTGTCCATCTGTCAAAAGTCGAGGAACCCTCTTGGCACACTTTTCTGTAGCCCGAATCACCACTAACAATGCCATAAAGAACTGTTCTTGAAATTTCAGGAAGGAACAAACTTAGTCCATCTATATTGAAACATCTATCCTGTTGGATTTTTTCCTCTATGCTTGATTTGAGTTCGTTAGTCACAACTGAAGGTCAGCCTGAGCATTGATCATCATGAATATTCGTTTACCCGCCATTAAACATGATGCACCATTTTCAAACTGAAGCTTCATTCATCACGTTACCATAAACCTCAGTTATCTGTCTGTAAATTTCAATAGGACAGACTTTTTTCTCATTCAAAAAGCATATTACACTATGAACCTCACACTTGACAGGATCTTTAATTTGTCACACATTTCAAAGTTACACTATAAACAGTAAACGATCATTGCGGCTCACTGTTAGTGTCAGACTGGCGCAAAAAAACGGGAAGGTCCATGACGCAGCAGTGGGGTGGTGGGAGAACTGTGCAGCTCATCATATCAAAATGTTCTTTTCTTTTAGAATAACTCTCGTATTAACTTATGCACAAAAACTAATTCATTTCCATGCAAAACAATTGTGATTACTTCAATTACAATAGAAAATTAATTTAATTGGTGAAAAAGAAGTGACTGCCTGCTGACAACACGTGGAAAGTCATATTTTAGGATAAAGATAATGCAAAGCAACACTAACCTCCATTTCACTCTCCATGGTCAAAACATCAGTACATGACAATTGATAATCGGAATCCATGTCCATGTTGGCCAACAAATCTCCCAATTCATTATTCAACTGAATCTGTGGCCTGCATGCTTCTAATGACTGATGCTTGACACTGTCTTGCTGCCAGAAACTTCCGGAATTGTTTGGGGCAATACAAAGCTCTATGGCATATACCATCATCTACTGGCATTTTCAGGAAATTCTCGAAACTACATTCTAGCCTATTGTGTTTATATGTATGGCATGATTAGTTCAATTTGACCAAAAATGTCATTTGGCATTATAATGTTTTCTATACTAATATTATAAAGAGATAAAGTTTGTAAGTTTGGATGTAGGAGGTAATCTTCAAAACTACTTATCTGATTTCAAAAAATCTTTCACCAATACAGTAGAGCGTCGATTATCCGAATCAATTGGGGACTGGGGTTGTTCGGAAGATCGATGTTTCAGATAACCGATTATGTACGAAAAAATATATTAATTTATCCCATCTTGACATTTTTCTCCATTGCTTGTCACTTTGCATTGAATTTTCGTCGATGTTAAGCCTAACGAAGACTATTGTATCGTTAAAAATTATTTTTTTATTTTGTACAAACAAAAAAATATATTGAAAAATATAAAAACAATAAAAAATTATACTTCAGAAGTTAATTTAGTATCAAAAACGTAAAATATTTGAGTAGCCCAAGACATAGCCAAAGATTGCAGCACCACAGCACTGGCGAAAATTTAAATTTGCCGACTGGAATTCTTTCGGATGATATTTCGGATAATCAACGCTCTACTGTATTTAGAATCGACCTTCAGGGTGGCCATAGGCTGTATATTATTCCGTTAAACATTTATATAAATTAAAAGATATTATCTAGGTAAGCATTATATTTTTGGTGTCAGTGGGTGGTGAGGGGCAAGACGTGTACATATACAAGATAGGTAACTGTGCGGCGCAGTCACATGGCGAGATATGCAGTGCATGTGTCTGAACTTGTGATATATAAAATTACATGTCCTGATTGATTCATCATCGCACAGAGCAAACCGCTGAACCTAAAGAGGTGAAATTTGGTACATGGGGTACGTCATGAAAATGCACAATAAGAAGAGATTTTTTGAAATTTCCCTGCAGAGGGAGAGGGTTAAGGTTTAACCTGAACAACATCTTCTACTGTACTATTTTAGATGCAATTTTTTTGTTTTTATAGTAACAACTAACATTGAGAATCTTAGTGAAGTATCAAGGGAGGGTTATTTCTATCAAATTGCAAATCTGCATGGGTGAAGCCATTGGTAACAGCTAGTAAAATATATTTTGACATTAATATTTCTTTTTATAATAAACATATGAAAAATAAAGGAAAATAATGTTTATAAAATGAAGACAAAATATCTATTTACTTATTTAATCGAGAAAATTCGGAAAAAGTTTTCAAATGTGATTTACTAATTTGAAAACTTTTCACATAGAAAGCAAATGAATACTTTATTTTAATTTGAGCTGATACAAAATTTCATCTATTAAATAGTGTCGAAGATTTTGAATTAAAATTAAATTCAATTGAATTTGATATTAACCTTTATGAAAATTTAACTTAAGTAGTAAATTTGTTGTAATTTTAGTGAATTTATATAATTTGGATTGTGACTGTTAGCTAAGTTTATTTGTGGTCGAATGGCCAAGGTAGTTATGACATCAGTATACCACTCTGAGAACCTAGGATTAAATTTGAACAGGCAGTCCCAAGAATTTTATATGGACAGTTTGTTTTGATTATGTTGGGCCCACACCTCATCACCTAGCCTTCCCTGTTGTGGATTTGGCCAAATCCATAATGGGCACAGAAAAAGTTTTCTTGGTTCTTAAAAGATGGAAAGTCAACAAAACTAAGAGAGATAAATTGTTAAGATGTGGAATATGTGAAAAATCTTGAAAATATTGAAAAATTTTTGTATATTTTCAATTAAATTCATTACATATCTACTATATATAGGCCTATATAAAATAAAATCATTACACTGCTTTTTCTATCACGAAGAAAACAAAATAGAAAAGTAGCACTAGAAATCAATGAATTGTCATGAAGTTTTTGAATAAGTGAGTGAAGTGAAGGAGGTTAGCCTGAATGGAATCAGTTCAAGCAGGGGGTTGAGTGGGGATTGGATTAAGCAAGCAAGGTATAACGTGTTAGGCTGCTCACACCATAGAAAGTTCAGCAAAATGAAGGAAAACAAAGCAAGTAGGAGTTGACCTCAGGTGATTCAAATCATTATGAAATTTTTTTCATGAATAGTGTATGTTGGGAACAAGTGGGCAAAGTGAACAGGAAGTTGGGCCAAGTTCAAGGGTCAAGACAAAGTTCTCTTAATTTAAATAAATAAGTATAAAAAAACTACAAATTGTAAAAAACAAAATTATTAATTGTAATGTATTATAATTTAATGTATTAGAATGTTGAAAAAATATTTTTCTGAAAACAGAGTAAGACTTAAAAAACAAGTTTCATAGTTTAGGAAACAATCCAAAAAATTTAAACAAGACAAAATCAAAAAGTTTTATTTTAAAACCAAAAGTTATGTCAAACCAATTATGGTGTGCAGATAAAGAAAACAAACAAAAGTAAAAGATATTAATAACAGGTTAATTGCTAAAATATTCCATGATACTTGTGCTTTTACTGCCTTTAATCTTAATATATGGTTAACATTTAAAAGAAAGTTTTTATTTCATTCTTATATTCCAGACATACTGTTATTTTTTGAAAACTTTTTTAAAGTAATAATAATAATTTTTTTTCTTTCAATTTCTGTTGTTATGAAGGTTCTGTTTTTCTATAGTTCACTGTACATTTAGTATTATTTAAATTTACTTAATTTACAAGTCATATTAGGGTTAATAAAAATATATAATGCAGTTTTCAGTTACAATAAACATTGAATAAAAGATACCATTTATATATGTAAATGCTAACTACATATATGACAAGCACTCAGATATATGTGGTAGTTAATGCACAAGATTAGAATTAGACTAATACAAGAGTTATTTAAATCATATATTATATTAATTGTATTAAATCGTATTTTATATAAATCGTAGTGTAATTAGTGTAATTAAGATTTTATTTCTTGGTACTAAATGAATAAAATTTAAAAATGATGTAAAATTTTATGTTTATGTAATTAATATTTCTGTGGGTACATGCAAGAACCTGATATGTAATATTTCAAAAAACATTGAGCTAAGGGTCTGTACTGTACAGTACATGGATGCCACCTATTGGTAAAGCTTACCTGAAATCAACAATGTAACATTAATAATGACAGTTGTCCATAAAGTGTATAATCAGCTTGTCTGGATGTAAAATTCACAGCAAGGATATGCAAGAACATGCTATATCATAAAGCATCTGTGCATGCAAAAGTTTACAGGAACTAGGATCTTGTGTTCTTAGCTACTTGTAGGATAACTTCTCTTTGGAAAAACGACACAAACTTGTTGCGTAGTTGGATTTGTGCAGAGGCCAGATTACTAAAACAATATTGTGACTGTATGGTACCATATTGTGCACAATGTACAGCTAGCGGAAGAAGTTAAGCATAAGTTTCCTTATTCAGGTCATGTGTTACTGGACTACAACTGTGACTTTGGTGTCACAGAAAAAAAAGGAGGCACACTGTTATGTTTATATACAGTAGAGCCTCGATTATCCGACCGAATTGGGGACTGGGGTTGGTCAGATAATTGAAAAGTCGGATAACCAAAAAGTATGAAAAAATCCATTATTAGTGTAGTATATTATTATATCCCATGTAATTAGTATATTAGTATATTGCTATTAACCTACTTCGTGTTGAATTTTTCTCCATTAAGCCTATAAATTTTTTTTTAAAATAATAATCTTCGCTATTGTATCGTTAAAAATTAGAAAATTAAGCCTCATTTAAATACTGGCTCCCTTTCATGGTTGAATGAGTGTTGCCAGCTAAAACACACAAAAATAATATTAAAGTAGCCAAGACATAGCCAAATGTTGTAGCGCCACATCACTAGCGGACATTTGAAATTTGCCGACTAGGACAGTCGGTTAACCGAGGTGTCGGTTAATCGGGGGTCAGATAATCAAGGCTCTACTGTACTGAAACAGTGGTTCCAAATTGTCAAACTCTGAGAAGTGAATAATTCTTTGTGTCAAAAGAATAATATGACAGGATTTTGTGTCAATAAAACTGTCTCTAGCTTCCTAGTTTTCAGGAAAATGTGCAGGAATAAACATCTTATGCATTTTCAGAAAGCACAGCATATAAAAGCAGCCACCAGTATCAAAAGGGAAAACTAACAATAGAATCTCCAATATCGTGAGTACAGCAGTGACAGTGATTAGTGTAACATATCAGGTTCTTGCATGGGCATATGCTGATTTTCAAACGTACAATATTCAATAAAGCTATTATAAAGTAACAACTATTTCATATATTTACTGGAATTTACAAGAGATTCTTTGTGTTTCATAGTATCAAACAAAAACTTCTATCAAATTATTACTTGTACTATGTATCAGGTTCTTGCATGCACTCATTTATGAAAATTGTTAAATAATTTTATAAACATCATTTATATATTTATTATTTTTAATGTTTTAAATATAAATTTTAAAAAATATTTAATTGAAATACCTAAATTATAGAATAAAATAGGATAAGTTATATAAAATGTCAGTTAAAAGAAGTTTCATTGAACAATATTTATTTATTTATTTTTTTTCTTAAATTTATAATTAATTAATTTTGAATATAGCATATTTTAAGATATTTATTTATATAATTATTTATTTATGATATATGACAAAACAACAACCAGCTTAAATTTTATCAGTTTTCTCTTTACTCAGGTCGGTTTCTTCGTTCTCAGAAAGTTGTTAATGGAGTCAAAAGAAAGAGAGTAAGTAAAATTATTATTATTTTTTTAATGTATGTATTTAGATATGGGTTTTTAATATACAACTTTTTCACTAAAAGTCTGTTGTGAAAGTCAAATAAACGAATTTTTACTGTTTTAAATAAGTAGATTTTTAATTGTCCTGAATTAGTACAAATGTTTGATATTTCATATGTTTTGCACTTTTCTCTGATTAAAACTAAATAACCATATAATTTTTATTTATTAATTTTTTATTTACATGCATTTTTATTCAACTTACAAACTGTAATTTATTTTATAAATTATATTATTTTTATCACTTCTATAAAATATATACAGTATACATACATACATACATACATACATACATACATACATACATACAAACAAATAGTTCATGTCTGAGGTTATTCTTTTCTCTTGTGTTGATTAATTGTAGTTTGCTGAGCTCCTGATTATTTGTGCATTGTCAACATATTAGAATTACTGTAAAATGACATAGTATTATAAGCAACATTCAGCTTTTCTTTCCTCCTTCAACTGTCAATTCTAAGAGATGGAAGTGAAGTCAGTTGTTAGCCCTCGAATGTTTTTTTACAGTAGATATAGTTGGCACTTTAAACAGCAGATTTGAAAAAAATATCCTGTTAGTCTTAAAATTAAAATACATTACTTTGGAAAAAATGTAAGAATTATACGTAAAATGTAAAATTTAAATTTTTGTGATATTTTTGAAAATGGAAGAAATCTACATTTTATGTTTGACTAATTGTACATTTCAGCTTATGAAACTTGGGACTAAAACTTGCATTGTGTTATAAGAGTTGAGCTGTATATGTTCTATAGTTCATTTAAAACTTCTAAATAGTTTTTTTTATAGTTTAGAGGGCTATTTTACATTATCAATGATTTTGGTTTTCCAAGCACACCCATGCACAAATTAGCATGGATAATCAAGAGTTTTTATACTTGAAATAAAAATTTTTTATGAAGTTTGTCCAGTTATAGAAATCAGTTAATTTATATTTTTTATCACTACTTAAAGGCTATGCATCAAAAAACAAATATGTACAAATATGTTTATCATGTTTTTAGAATATCCTTATCTCCAATGTAATGTCATACTTTCATCACTCCCTAGTTTTTATATTCTCTATATTAATATGTCTGTTTTAAGTCATATTGTCAGAAACTGATGACATCCTTTTTCCTCTTTAATTATATACATTTGATTATTAAAATTAATAGTATCTTTTGTTTTGGACATATTTTCTTTGTCATTGTTTTTACATTGCAATTCAATGATTTTCAGCCTACATTTTAACATCTCATGAACTTTAAAAATAACATTATACTGTTGTTATAAATAAAACATTTATATTGTGAATATTCAGGAGGTATTCTTGTCACACTTACCAGTACTAGTCATTTTGCATATAATTTTGTACATTCTGAACAGCGATGGTATGCAATCCCAAAGAAGTTGCATGAAAAATTTTTCAAATAATAAAATATGAAATAAAAACAGAAAAAGGTGAACCAAGTCCCATGCTGTATTACTATTGTATAATTAGAACCAATAAATTAAAAAAAAAATACAGTAATTAGGAGTCATACAAAATTTCTGTTTAAAAAAAGTGCTACCAGTAAAAGTGTTCACACACACTCTCTCTGAGCTAGAATGATACCATAGAAAAAAGTATATGAATTTATACTTACAATGATAATTTCTTTGCAAATTACAGTGAACTTTGGCAATTATAGTGGATCTATTGTTCTCATATCAATTGTTTTCCCACATCTATTGGTTGTTTTCTCTGATCCCAAATAAGGACCCATACATATGTCCTGTATTCTTCATTCCTGCATTGTTCATTTTCCCGAAATAGTTGTTCTGAATTTTAACTGAAAGAAAAATGCTATCCCTTGTCACTCGTTTTACTTACAATAGTGTGTGCTAAATTGAAACACTGATTTTCATGTACTAAAAATAAAAGCATGTCAAATTTAACAGTTAAATCCTTTTGACTACAACTAACCAGTTTTTATTGTGATTTTTGGCTCCTTTTTGTCTACTGCTTTACAAAATACTATACTTCATTGGTGACATTTCCTCTTAAAACCTGTTATACTGGTAAAAATTAGCATGTTGTCTTGGTTGCAATCTGTATGATTATTTCGGGTGCGTACAATGTACAATAATTTCATAAATATGCTGTAAACTCTGAAAACAACTTTTAATTATTGAAAAAGAAACTAATTCACAATCACTATTTTTATACATATCACCTTTTCATTGATGTTTTGTGTCTTTTTTTACCACTACATTAAATTTTCAGAAGTTTTAGATTGGCTACTACAGTATATTCATGATATATTCATGATTATAAGGTGCACCTTTGTCATACTTTTTGAGACCATTAACTGCTACACTTTTTTTGGATACATTATTTAGATATAGACATTCAGTTGAAAGGAGATTGTATAACAATGGGTATCTACATAAAACCAACACATAGTCCACTATACATTCCAGCTAAATCAAACGACCCATACAAATACAAACACAAACTGTTCGCTTTTTGCACACTCATTAGATCATTAGAAAAGCATATTTATATTGCTCTAATGTACTAGACAGGATCAAGGAAATTAGAAGATATGAAAAAGGCAAAATCAAACCAAACAAATCAATTTAAAGTCGCCAAGTTCACTTATAATAAGAACATCATGAAATAAGTGTTGGACAAAAAACACTCCCAAAATAGTTTACAAAAGAGCTCCTAATTTATATGTTATATTATTCTGAGAAATGATAAAGACAGGTTTAAAAAAGATAAAGTGAGAGTTTATAAAATTCCATTTGAAAATCAGCAATTAGGAATTAAAGATTATTGAGATCACAAGAAATAATTTAGCTATTAGACTTAAGGAGAACAAGTATGACATTAATAATGGACACTTCAACACAGTTTTGTCCAGTATGGCCAAGTAGAGGACTATATAGTTAAATGGAATGAAGTGGTTATTCCTAGGGCCATGCATTCCCCTCATTAGCAATGAACAAAGAAAAAGTTGAAATCTGTAAAAGTAATTTAAAGGATGGTTGTATTAATTCCAGGGATGTAGATGGACTAGCTTCTGAATGGAAATTCTACATAAAAGAAAAATTAAAATATAAAAATTTTTAGTCTGCACCTACCCTTATACTTGGATGATTTTTGTATTTTATTTTATTATACTATTTATATCATTATTGTTTTAGTTTATTTAATATATTTTATTATATTATTTATTTGATAATTTATCTAATAATTTTGTTTTAAATTTAAATGTAAAATGTTCGGACATTCTGTCATTAAAATGTTAAATTTTTGAAAATACATTTAAATTCAGTTACACTTGAATATGCCTATTGTATTAGGTTGAAAACATTAGTGCTCTGTTTAAGAAACATTTCTCATCAACAGAAGATGTATTGATTGGTTAAAAAAAACTATTAGAACTATTACTTCAAAATCTATATTTGATTTTGAGGAACCAAATAAAACTTGTTCTGTTATAATTTAAATTTTCTTCAAACTTTAAAATTACAGAACAAAGTTTTTCATAAAACAACTTTAATCTCAAACTTATGCTGAGAAAAGACCTGTTCTTTCGTTTTCTGCTGCAAACGTAATCCAGCATTGTCAATAATGTATTACAGTATACTGTTTTCATAAATTTTGTTTTACATTTTTAGTTTCATATTAATTTCAATATCCGTGTTGCTCCTTTTTTTCTATTTTATTTTAAAAGGTGGTGATTGTGTAATATCAGTTAGGTGAACGTTATTGGAATGGCTATTGTTAGATTCAGCTTTATTGAATTTATAGATACACTGTCTCTTATGAATTTGAATTTCTCATAAAGTAATTCATTCTCAAAATAATTTTTGAGACAGTTTATATAATAAAGTAGTGGAATATCTGGTTATTGATAAATTAAAACATAATATAAATTACTAAATATTTCAGTTTGTTATTGTAAAGTCTTGTGAGAGTCTCTGAATTTAATATTTGGGAAGAATTTCATCAGATTGGCTAAAATAAAAATTTATCCATATTCAAAAAGTCAAAATTAACAGAAATTGTTAAACATGATGTATAAATTTGTGTGGTATTGTATCCTGAAATACACCCCATGTAATACAGTAGCCTAATAAAGTATGTACTGTACAGTACATCTGATTTTGTATAATTTCATATGCTGTTTCTTCATGTAAACACAGTTTATTTTATTTTTAGGGCTAGGATAATTTTTAGGATAGTTTATTTTTAAAATTTCACTTACAAATACTTTCAAAACATTTTTAATAAATTCTATTTTATAAACTGTTAAAATCAATCTTTTTTCAAAGATTTTCAATTAACTGATTATTAGTATACATTATTAGGCGTGTATTTGATTTCTGTTTATGTACTTCCTTAATGCAAACAAATAGTATATTGCAATATTTTAATATTGTTCTCAATTCCAAACTTATCTGTTAACTGTTAAAGTTCAATTACTACAATTTATAAATATATTGATGATGCTCTCAACTTCCTGGCAAGTCATGAGAATAAACTACATAAATCACCACACAAATTAAATGTCACAGATAATAAATTAGTATTTAATTTACATAATTTAAATTTATAAAATGTTTAATTTATAAAAAAAAATCAACTTTTATTGCAGTTACGTAAAATGTATTTTATTTTCTATTTTTAGAGACGAAAAAGGAAACACTATTTCAGCAGAAAAGCAAAGTAGGTATAAAATTATTATTATTATAAATTTGTTGGTAATATTAATTATTAGATAATTTAATAAAATACTTTTACAAGATCTGTAAAAGGAACAGTATGGAAAAATATGAATCTATAATCTTTAAGGTTAACAAACACATCATCGGTTACATCATTAAGACTTTTTGTAGATAAATTAACTTATTTTTCCCTTCTAAATGATTTTTTCCCCCTTAAATTTAACAATATAATAATGTAATATTATCTGTAGATACAATTCTTTATAATGCAAATTTTATAGATTTTTTTTATTTGATTTTAAAATATTAAGCAGTTCAAGATGTTAGAAAATACTTATGATATTCTTTGTGCTTGTTAGAAAAAGATGACACTATAGAAAGTATTCTTGTTGGTCGCTGTTTCGGCCTTGTCCAGTTATGTAAGATTGTTATGGAAAGTGTAAAAAGTGAGTATAATTTTTTTTAATTGAAAAAGTTTTTTTTTGTTATAATTGCAATTTAATGATGATATTATTATTTTTTATAGATTTGAGTGTAAGAGCAACAGGGTAAGAAATTGTCCAGCTGGATCTGGAATCGGTTATGATAACGGAATCGATGTTGCCGTAGCAAAAATGTTTGAAAGAAGTCGCTGTAATATATATATATTATATATATATTGAGTGGGATAATGCTCAAAAAAAAGTGACTGTTATATTATAAATTAAAATGGTAGAATCTTGGAGAAAAAAGAAATACCTCTTTAAATAGGTGCCTATTTACATTCATTGCAGCCAAGATTCTTGTTTTCCATATCAAATGCATTTCAAAATGTACGTTGTCTGTTTGACACCAAATCGGTTTTATTATGTGAACTTTTTGTATAATTGTTTATAAAATTATAAAATTGTTTGTTATATGAGAATGAATGGTGTACATTAATTTGTTTAAAGAATTGAAAAGATTTTTATTACTTCAAATCAGATCTTTAGAAAATTTATGTACTTAACCTCTTGTCTGATTCGTTTCACAAGCTTTCTTAATGGAATGAATTTGAACTCTGATTATAGAAGAAATCAAATGTGTAAAAGCTATAATTTATTTATGAAGCTGAGAGAAAATGTATAATTCCATTTGAGTCAACCTCAAGCAAATGTGACATTTTATTGTACCAAAGTTAATAATTTTTTAACAATTGTAAATAGTCATTGTAAAAATATGACATTTATTCATTATCAAACATTCACACAATTAATTTATTGGCATGCATTTATCACGTGGATATAGTTTAGTTACATAATCTCTTATTCTTTGTTTCATTTTCTATAAATAAAACTGTTTGTATAGTTAGTAACAAATTTTTTATATTATTTATT